CCACAATACCGATAAGTGATTAATAAAAGTCAAAAGACCAAAGAGGTCACCTTAAAAAAAAAAAAAAAAAAAAAAAATACTGACTTCCAAATATAATTTTTTATGACACAATCTTTCGAATGAAAACCTTTTTTCTTCTAAAAGGTGCAATTGTTCTGCACAATCTTTATTGTTTTCTAACTTATTTTTAAGTCATACTTTTATTTTAGCATCACTTATTTGCTTATAGTCATGAAATAATTCATATGAAAGTTCTCTAACTGCTTTCTACAGTACATGTAATAAATACATAGATGAATAATACAAAAATTAAATCTAATTAATGAGTTAAAAAGCAATACTTAAAACAAATCATCTGCTGTTTTCTTCTATTTTCTTTTCTTTTTTATTTTGCTTATAGCAGAATTATGCATTTCTTTAGTATCATTCAACTTTTCAAGAACCTGTTTAAGCTGCTTTTGTTGTTCAGTAATAAGATATTCAAGTTTAGCTTGTTTTCTAGTAATATGTTCAATTTGGGTAAAGCTTTTTTGTCTAATGCTTAAAATCTTTGACAGAGTTTGTAAATCAACAGGTGGTAGCATTAATAAATATTACATTATTAGTTAATATATTAAAAGATAAAATATATATTAATAATATAAACATATTAACCTAGATTTTCATTATGAAGAACAGTGAAAAGAGAAGAGTTGACAATAACTTGTGACTAAATTATAAAGGAATCATCATATTTTTAAGTATTTTTTTTAAAAAAAAATAAAATAAAATAAAATAAAACTTACAAAACTCATAGATGATTGTTTGCTAAACTTATTGCTAGTAGTAGTCATGGAAAGGTCAGAAGTTGCTGCATCAGCTTTTTTTTTTTTAGTTAAAGAAATAGACTGCAATAATTTGTTTAAATTTGTTGATTGTGTTGATGCAGTTGATTTTGCTGTTTGAGATGATGTAATTGCTTTTGCTGATATAGATGATTGTAATGTCATAGTTAAGGTGTTTAAAGTAAGTGATTTTGATTGCAACAAAACTTGAGGAGAATTAGTCAATGGTGTAGTTGAAGCAGATGATTTTAATTGCAATAAAGTTCAAGGTAAATTTGTTAATATTTTTTTATTATTTGTTGTACCTTGTTTAGTCAATGATCGTTTTGGTCATTGTAAAGAAAAAAGGTTAAAAGATGGACTGATTTTTTTATTTTTTCCTTTGTTCATTGTTTAATAGTAACAATTAACAAGTCCATAAAACAAAAAATTCTTCACTTATATATTATTCTAAAATTAATTATCATCATTGCTTTATAAGTATGTCAGTTATCTGAGTTAATATATTAATATAATTATAAAACTAGAAAATATTTCTAATGAATTATTACCTTATGTTAATATATCTCAATAATTTTATGCAATTCAATTATGTTATTAAAACTTTGAATTCTTGATTCTAAAAATATTTAAAATAAATAATTTATTAATATTTTTTATTAATTACAATTTTATTTTTATCTATAAATTTTTTTTTTTTCTAAACTAATAACTTGACAGATAGTAAAATACTTAACAATCTTAATAGTGTAAAGCTATTTTTCTATTTCGAATTTGTATACAAATTTATATTATACACGCTGACTATATACTAATATAGTTTTACCATTTTTGCCTTGATATTTATCTTTATATTCATCTCACAAATATTGATTCGATAGATTTTCTGTGTACATTGCTCACATAGCAAATTTCATATTTCAATTTATTAATGCTTGTATATTCATAGCACTAACAAATCCCAATATGAATTGCTAAAATTGATCAGAATAAAAACTGTTTTTTTATCAAATATACCTGTCCTTTAAGTTCAACATCTTATCCCTCATAGTTGTATTCTTTATTGATAATTAACTTGCATAAAAGTATGATGCTAGAATGCATAAATTTGTAGATGCTTGATATTAAGTATAGAAAAGTTTGCATTGATATGTGACTTATATTGGTAAGGTGACTATACAGAGATATTATTGATAGGTGAATTATTAATATATTTTTGGATATTGGGCTATAGTAATAGTTATCATAAGCTACCTTTACTAAATGACACCAAGAGATATGAAAATAACAAAGATCGATTTAAGTGATTGAGATTGTACATAATTTTTACTACATAATTTTTATTTAGTTGTGTTAATCATTGAAGTTGAACTCTTAAAAATGTAGGTTTGTATTACATACCTCTAGTTTACTTTAATAGTTAATAACAATAGATTGGAATAATTGTCTAACAAATTATCATATGTCTTTCTTGAATAACTGATATAATGGGAAAGTCAACTTTATAATAGATGAATTTTTAAATTTTGAGTTTGCACTTACCTTTTATTAATTCGAATAATTTTTTGATAATGTTGGCTAGTTCTTCTTTTGCACCACTTTGTTGAATTCATTACTATTGTATGTTGAATTTTTTGTTGAATGTTATGCACTTTTGCTTCAAGTTGCTTGGCTATTTAATTTAGACACAAATGCATAGATAGGTTCAATATAGACAGGTAAAAGTTTTTTTTCAATAAGCACAGTGAACAAGACTTCTGAGATATCCATTATTCAACTAGTGTATTGTATATCATTAAATTTTTTTAAAATGAAATAGTTCTGTAATAAAGAATAACACTATGTATTAAAGCTTTTACAAGTTTTGAAGCAGTCAGAAAAAAGAAAGTTGAATAAGCTAATTCAAATCTATAAAAATTTTCTTATATACATGCATTCAATGGTAGTACAAATCTAAAAGCATAATGAGATCTGTATAACATAACTTTAAAGTTAATACTGTAATACAGTTAATACCAGTACTAAACTAATATTTTAGCAATAAACTTTCATTAAATTAACCAATCATATTATTTTAATTATATTACATATTAGATGTTAGTTAACTTGTAATATTGCATAAATATACATGCACAATTGTCCTGAACCAGACTGTAATAGATACTTTAATTGTTATTCTTCTGTGCGCAATCATTTAAAAATTTATAATAATACAATTGGAGACCTTCTTTAAGAAATTGTTATAGCAAAAGACAGTAATAACATATTAAGGAAAGAACAATTTATTCAATGAAAATATGAAATTAATAACCAATAGAACAATAACCAGCTAGAAGAAATAGATGGATTTTCATTTAATAATAGTGAAGATATTGAACCAGAAATAGAAAACAATATAATAGATGAGATAACAAATAGGTTAGAATTTAGTTATAGTGAAGAAATAAATAATAAAGATAATGAAATAAACTATGAAATAGATAAAAGTGTTGAAGTAGATAAAATAGAAGAAACAAACAGGCTAGAAATTAGTTATAATAAAGAAATAAACAATGAAACTAATGAAATAGATAAAATAGATGAAGCAAATAATGATGATATTGAGATAGATAAAATAAATAATGAAGATGTCATAGATGAGATAGGTGAACCAGAAGTATATAAGACTGTATATAGATGTACATGCATTATATATATGTAGTACAAATATATATATTAATACATTTTTTTGAGGGTTTTAAGTTTTATTATATAACTTAATATTTATAAAAATTATATATGTATGTATATATGTAGATGAACATTGTAAAGTATTGATTGTTTGAGATTAAGTTACTATTAGTTTTGAGTTTCTTAATGTTGGGTCAGCAAATAGTAAGGATATGCCAAATTTTCCAAGTGAAGAATTCAGCAACTTTATAAAGTTGGTTATTAAATAGAATTCATCAGATTCATGTATGAGTGAAATACTTTGTTTTTCAAAAAAAATAGCACATAATAATATCATTTTATCTACCTCAATACAACAAGAGAAGCAGTGTTTAGACAAAATTATGGTGCAACATATTTCTTTTAAGAAAGTACCTATA